GATAATTGCTCGCCCCTATCGCAGCAGTTTTGCAGCGGCGCCAGCGCCTCCAATTGCAACGCCTCGGGCTTTTGGATCGGGCAGACACCGGCGCCAACGACACGTACGCCCCCGGCTCCAACATTGACACCGACACCGACAACAGCCCCGCGACCCGCGACATCAAGCACGACGCGACTAGATGCATGGGCTAGCAACACTGTATTCGTCGCGCTCGTTCTATGTGTATCCTATGGAGTATAAAAAGTATGAAGGTCCACGCCTTCCTATAATCCATGCTCGTGCAACTAACTTCCTATAATCCATGCTCGTGCAACTAACTTCCTATAATCCATGCTCGTGCAACTAACTCACTGGTTGCGACAACCAAGGCCGTAGCACCTGGTCCTGGGGTGTAAACGGCGGTAGCTACTGTATACAGAGGCACCTTGCCGCAGAGGCACTGTCCCATCAAGACTACATAACTAAACAATGGAATTTATTGATGTACTCTTGCATACCAGTGCACATGCTTCTCGCCTGCATCCATCACCTTCTCCGATCGCGTCCAGCAACCAAAACTTTTAAATCCGCCTAGCAACTCAACGGCGCTTGCTTGTGGCATATGCCACATCCTACAAGACGATGGGGATTGGGTCGCTTAAAATAGCCAGTGCCCAATCGGCGACGCGACCGCTGCGATTTGCACGAATCGCGAGCCAGTTGCGTTCGGATTGCGAATCGGCAAGATGCCAGACGACCGCCAGCCTCGGCTCACCGCCCACGAGAGCCCGACCGCAGCGAGTCGCCTGCTTCTGGCCAAGCTACCGGCGCTGCGTAGGACAAGCGTACGCGCGCAGCACGTCTCATCCAGCTTACCTAGACGAGGCCTTCCGACCGACATGGTTCCTTCCGAACGGGCACTGCCAGACCATTATGACACACGCTCTCAACTTTGTACCGCGCAAGGTTGTGCACTATGAGCGCGAGCTCGTTCGTTTGGCGGACGGCGGCACGGTCTCGCTTGACTGGGCATCACGCAAGCCACGGCCGGCGAACCTCGCCGCCCTGCTTGACGACCGAAGCGCGCCGACGATCGTGCGTCCTCCGATTCCGTCTCGTCGAGGTGATAGTTTATGTTCTAGGTGCTTATGCATGGTCTGGGCGGTGGCAGTCACGAGGTACTACACTGTACGATTTTCTACTGCAATGATATCCTTAATGATGTACCCAGTCGTACATTCAGCTCACAGCCAAGCGCTGTCTTGTCGCCGGTTTTCGCGTCGTGGTCATGAACGCCAGGGGTTGTGCTAAAACTCCTGTGACGACACCCAAGGTGCGACTGCCACCGCTTTACTCGACGACTGATTCCGTCTAGCTCGTTTGTCCGGCCGTCACAGCGGATGTCAAAGAGGTCGTGGCCTACCTCCGCGCCACTTCAGCGCCAGCGCCAACACCGTTGATTGCCGTCGGGTACTCGCTCGGTGCCAATATATTGCTCAAGTATGTGGGCGAAGCCGGTCATTCGTGTCCGTTGACGGCCGCGATTTCGGTTGCAAACCCGTACAATCTCGAGATGACCACGGCGCATCTTGCCACGTCGTGGTGGCACCGACAGATCTACAACAAAGCGCTCACCAGCGGCCTTGTCAAGCTCATTTTCAAAAAGGTGCATCGTCGCGCGCGAAGCTTAAGACCATCGCAGCGTAGAGCAATGCGCACTCCGTGTTGCGTGCCGAGGCCTCTGTGAATCTCAAGCAGCTCAAGAAGGCACGCATCTTGGAAGACTTTGATCGCGCGTACTCGTGCCCTGTCTTTGGGTACGTCTTGGCAATCGCACGCACGGCAATTTGATCTCGAGCTAGCTACGAGACGCCGATGGACATTTACAAAGACGCGTCATCGGCAGCTTGTACACCCCACGCATCCAACTTGCGAGCTCATGTGAACCAACTAGACATTGCGGGGATTGCGATCCCGACGCTGTGCATCTCGGCGCTGGACGACCCGATTTGCCCGCGCCAAGCCATCCCATACGACGCCGTCCAGGCGAATCCGAACGTTTTGCTCGCAGTCACGGCGCACGGCGGCCACTTGGGCTACTACACGCGCAACGCTCTCGACACTTGGTACATCAAGGCTGTCGTGCAGTTTGCGGTTGCGGTCAAGCCCACGGTTGAGGCAGACGACGACCTACACATCGTCTTGACACCATGAGACCCTTTAAAACACAAATAAGAGTTGACGACAACCAAGATTCCACCAAGAGTCGTTTAAACTGGAATGCACGCCAACTAAACCGTAGTAAGTGTGTACTAACTATGTGAAAAGCACACGTTTCTACTAACTACGAAATCATGGGCGCAGTCGGTGGCGATGCAAAAACCCGCGTGGCATATTGCCCTTGGTAAGTGAACGTGATTGTCAAATATCTAGCAGACGAGCTCACCAAGACTGCCCTTGCGGTCCCAGTGCACGGACGCACCGAGAAAGGTCTTGGCTGCCGCCATGGCGTCACTGCCAAAGTAGCCTGCGCAATGCGCGTGGAGGTACTGCACCATAGCGTAGTGGCGGCGACCCATGGCTTTCCACAGCGCGTCGTCCGTGCAGCCTTCGGTTCGGTGCTCGTTGAGATACGCGACGACGTCCAAGTGGCCAAAGCCCGCGGCGAGGTTCATTGCAGCGCTCGTACAGCCATCGTCC